GGGGGGGGGGGGATCGGACAAGTGCACGCAATCACAGGCGAGCACCTGCCTGAAGAATGCAGAGGACTGGCTATGGCAGAGGCCAGCTGATGGGCTGACTTGAGGGATGGGCATGAAAGTGATCACAACCTGTGTCCGGTCGCAGGCAATGGGTTGCCCTGCAGGGCGCAGTGACTCAGGGACAGCGGGTAGCAGGAAGGGTGGCGCGGCAGGAGCTCACTTCTGCGGGTGCCACGCGCTGTGCGCGCGCGTCATGATGGACGCCAGGTCAAACCTGAAGCCATCGACGTGGTACTCCTGGTGGAGTTGAGAATTTACAGGTTGTGGCAGTTTACAGGTTGTGGCGCATGGATCAGCGGGGGCTGCGTGGGTGCGAGCACGCCTGATGACAGGCGCAAGCTGCGTGGGTGCGAGCACGCCTGATGACAGGCGCGAGCCCTCCATGAGGGGTACACGAGCAGCTGTGCACAGCTTGCATCATGCCCGCAAGTGCCTGCAGAAACCCAAGTTTGACCAGAGTTTGACCAGCAGTTGACCGGGACAAAAGCTCTTCTTTGACCAGTCAAACCTCCCGCTCACCAGGACCCAGTAGCGCAGGCAGTCCACAATGAAGTCGCGCACCACGGGGTGGTTGCAGTTGAGGGTGTTGCCGCAGCCGCTGTAGTTGTAGTACTCGCCGCCTGGGGTTGAGGTCGTCGTGTTGCGCACCGGCGGGCGGGCAGGTGATGTCATGGTGATGTCACGCGCTGGCAGAGCCAGAGGTGACCCTTGGTGCGAACCCAAAAGAACGCCAAAGAATACCAAACCCCTGGGGCTGCATGCAGCGCACCGCATCCTGAGCAACGAACGCAATCAGCCTTGAAGCGGGCCCGGCTGCACAATACAATAATAGACACTCATGCCCCCAACCCCCCACACGCATATGCACCCACAATGTCTCTGCACACCATAGACACACACGAACACACACTCCAGGAACAGTACGCAAACACGCCCTCACATGCTGACTCAGCAAAACCCCCCACAGCCTCCCACCTGGAGCCAGCATGTAGTACACGCGGTTGTCCAGGCCCCTCATGCTGATGGTGGGGCCGGCCTCGTTGCCCTCAGCCGTGTGGTTGAAAACCACGTCAAGAATCACCTGGGGCGGAGGGCAGAGCAGCGCGCGGGTGCCGCCTTGGTTTGGGTAGGTCGACGCTGGTGTGCATGCTATGATCAGAGGCAGGTGTGGTGGGTGGCCCGATGTGATGCTATGCCACGGGGCAGCGCTTCCGCCGCGGTCGGCCGCTGCGATATGCGATTGATCACGCAAGGATGCGGACGAAGGGGCGCTCGTGCTTTACGCGCGCGCCTCAGACCAAAGCACGTGGCCCAGACCCCAACCTGTTGAACTTGTCATGCTCACGCCTCTCAGTCTACGCACTAGTACTTGTCCCTCTTGTTCACAGCACATTAACGGAATTCAAAACGGTTTATGTATGATGGGTGAAACCCCGAGTTTCAACCCTGGCTCTCACCTCGATGCCCCTCTTGTGAGCCTCCCGCACCATCGTCTTGAACTCACGCCGCAGCGCCTCACCGTCCGCGCCGTTGGCCACCTGGGTACGCGTGCAGCATTGCCGCCGAGACGGGGTGATATATGTGCCAAGGGTGGCTGTGTGTCAGAGGCCGTTGACAAATGCAGCTTTTGGTGCAGCCGTTGATGGGGTGGCTGGGGCCGCCGTGTGCATGATCTGAAGACGGAATGATCTGAAGACGGAATGACATGAAGACGGCAAGATCTGAAGGTGGACGAGCAGCGGGGCCCCACCTTGGCGCAGGGGCTGGGGTGACAGCTGACAGGGGCCTCGTGGTCGCCGCAGGCCCCCCCTGCCAGCTGCCCTTTGGTCCCGGCAAAGCAGATCAGACAGCTCAATGACAGCCCGCGCCCTGCAAGCTTAGGGGCCCCTGAGCACTCTCGAACTTTAGAACACCGCTGCCCACACTTGACACGCGCCCCTCAGGAAAGCGAAAACATGTGAACCCGTTTTCAATGGGGGGCGTGCCGAGAGTTCTCACCGCGAAGCTGTAGCGGCTCATGGGTGAGAAGAACCCGACAGTTGAGTAACCCCAGAAGTTGTAGCGATAGGAATTCTCCTGAGGTGACGGGATTGAGCATTTGGAGGAGGGAGAGATGCATCCCGAGCGTGAGCTGCACGAATGTTGAGTCAGTTGCCGCGTGTCTGTGCGGATCGAGGGCAGGGAAATTGAAGCAAGAACCGACGTGCTGGCGGCTTGCTGCTTGACACTCAAAACGAGAGGGGGGGGGATGCCAACAGCAGCTTTGCTCGACCCAGGTGTTGTTCAGTCCCGTCCCCCCCCCTCTACCACCCCCAAACAAAGACACACCTGTCCAGGGATGGGGCTGTAGTACTCGAGCTCATTGAATTCAAACACCTGGCAGCGGCAGCAGCAGGATGCGGAGTGGACTGTTTGCATAGTCCGCTTCACAGTTAGGATTCACGCGTACCAGGTTCATCCAACACAAGCCCTCGGTCCGCCGCCAATGCAGCGCTTCCTCGTCGCAACCCGTTCCCGGCCCCGATCCCTCCCATCAATGCTGCACTCGGCGCCCCTGTGGCGCCGCACCCGAGTGGCGCCGCACCCCAGTGGCGCCGCACCCCACCCCTCCAACCCACCGGCAGCAGCTCTATGGCGTTAACCCCGAGCCGCTTTATGTAATCCAGCTTCTCAACCAAACCCAGGTAGGTGCCCGGGGCCTGGGCAGGACGCGGAAACAATGAGGCAAGGGGCAGGCACGCCGAGGGTGTCGCTGCTGATGAGGGGGTGGGGCCGCCGAGGCCCGCGCAACAGGCCTCCCAGAGGACCGCGGCGACGCCATGTGCTGCGGTGGCGAGCCTGGCAGTGGGGCGGGCCAGCCTGCAGCAGGGCGCAGGCCACTGCTGCTGGGCAGACCGACGACGCGCAAACTCGGCAGCGGCGTCCAGGAGCCTGTGCCGATTCATGCCCCTCACCGCGGCGTCTGCCACCCAGCGACCCATCAAGAGCGCATGGGCATGGGCAGCCCCCTGCCTCCCCAAGATCGCGTTGGACACCAACCTCGACGCCGCTGGAGGGGTGCTGCGTGAAACCTCGGACGTGCATCTCGTAGATCACCAGGTCCTCCATGGGCAGCCCCAGGGGCCGGTCCCCCTGCCAGTCAAAGCCGTCGCCGCCGGGGCTCGGCAGGTACGCCGCCATCTGGGAAATGGGGGAGCAGGAGTTGATGATAAGGTTGGATCGAGCTTTGGAGGATGTGTGTCCTTGATGGGGGCTGAGTGGATAGTGAGGATGGGGTGTGCAGGCGGGTGGGCAGGTGGGTGACGACGGCCGAAATTGTGGAGGAGATGAAACGAGAGAGGGAGGGAGCAAAGGGTTGAGTCAAGGGCAGCCACGTTTGCAGGTGCACGGGACACAACGCAGCAGGCTGCTGCAGGAGCTGTGCGCACCAAACACCAATTTCGAGTCACCAGCCTGCAATGCCTCTGCGCTTCACTTAGACCTCGACAAACATTGATTAAAAGCAGCAGCAAATCGATCACAGCATCAGCATCACGCAAGCGCGCGCAAGGCGCGCGCGCCCTACCTGCGGCCACGTCTGCGCCAGCCCCAGGACATTGGGGTCAGTGTAGTCCAGCTCCCGCGGCCCCAGGGCGCCGTAGCGGCGGCGCGACAGGATGGCGCGCGCGTAGGGGTCCAGCACCACCTCCACCTGGGACAGGGGGGGAAATGAGCATTCGTGAGTCGGGCTGGTTTGGGTTGGGGCGGGGCCCAGGGGTTGTGGGCGGCGGGGCATCGGGGCGTTGGGGGGTGGGTTGATGCGTTGTGCAATGTGCAGACCTTGACGACCATCCAAGGGGTGTGGGGGGAGGAGTGGCTTGGATTGAGGGCAAAACCCCTTGCACGGGTCACATCAGCAACATGCTTATCAAAGCAAGAAGGTTTCCGTTTTGCTGGTGTGCTCCAATCGAGATATTGGGCAACTTCTCTCTGTGTGCGCCTGACAACGGCCAGCCCTCCCCCAAGCCTCCCCCTCCCCATCGCCGAGCAGCACCCCTGGTCCGCCTGCTCAACGCCGACGGCAGGCGGACACGTGCAAATGTAACGCCCGCCACCCACCTCGTCGCAGCGGTGTCCGACAGCCGCGGGGTCGTGGGTGCCGTCCTCAGCGCGGCTCTTGTCCTGGTTGCGGCCCCTGACGCGGAACCCGTAGAGCAGGGAGGGGTCGAGCCGCGGCAGCATCACGTGCCACACGTCGCCTGGCGCGGAAGATGGGAGGCCGCGGCGCGCGGAGGCCGCAGGGAGGCGCAGGGTGTGTGCAAAAGGTTACCGCAGTGTCGAGGTCGGGAGGGGAGGTTGTGAAGCCAGCTGCGGTGTGCGGGGCGGGTGCAAGCTTGCAGGCGCCAGTCAGTTCGTTCAAAACGCTGCATCAACCCGGTGCAAACCGCGTGTGCCGCTGTCCCATATGGGGCTGCAATGCGCTGCGGCCTTGCGATGCGGCGCGCACCCGTCCGGTTGGCCAGGGGGTCGAGGGGCAGCTCGTAGGTCGCACGGCCCGCGGCCAGGTCTTGCTCGGTGAACAGCACCAGGCTGACGCCCTGGGCCGCGGATGAGAAGACAGCAAAGTTGTAGGCATCCTGGGGGTGGAGGGGGTGCAGGGGGTCGCAGGAGTGTAAGATTGTTGGGGGGTTGGGGTTGGGTGGGTGCGGAGGGGGTGGTGCTGGACCGAAGGGATTCCGAGCGGTCCCAGCTACTATGCGGCTGCCTGGCGCCCCCGCTCCCGCTGCCGATTGCCACATATACCACTAATCAAGGAGAGACACCCATGCGAACGGCAGGCGCGCCGTGGCGTGGGCGCGCGTCGCGCTCGCGGCTCCCCGGCCTCGGGGCGATGTCGCGGGGATGGGCTCCGATGTTTGAGAGGCCGAGGGTACGGCGCCGTGCCGAATTTCAGCCGCTGCTGAGGCCCTGCCGGCCCGCGGAGCCCCTCACCAATTCTTTGTCATAGGTGGCACCCAGCGGCTCGGCCTTGCCGCGCAGCGGGGCGCCGTAGGCGGGGCCTGCCGCGCCGCCCGGCACGGGCAGCAGCGAGGGCGACGCCAGCGGCGTGCGCCGCGGCGTTGTCGCAGTGACGGGCACCGCCACCGCCTGGGCCGTGGCACTGCATGATGTACGCAGAGCACTCAACGGCCTGCAGCAGCCAGGGTAGGCGCATTAGTGAGCGCGATGCAGAATCAAACGCTCCACACCTGCTCCCGCAGCAAACAGGAGCCCGCTGCTCACCTCCGCGCCGATGCACCGATATACTTGTATGGTAAAACGGCGATCGAGTCCCGTTTGAGGGCCCGAAGGCCCTGCTGAGTGGCGATGCTCATTGCGCACACCCCCGAGGTCACCCCTCCACCGCTGCGCCGTTTCTACGCCTGCTGTGACCAGTATGCGGTTAATTCAGTATTCTACAATCGGATGACGGCCACCGATAGCAAATGGCTGAAGCCCAGATCCCTTTTCTCAAAGTGCAAGAAAGCACGGGGTGCTTTGTCAGTCCTTGGAAGTTCTTCGAGGTACTGAAGGACCTCTAGAGACACCATGCGCAATCGTGGCACACCATGAACATGCATTGGAGCATCCCGCCGCAGCGAGCAGTTGCTGCCTCTGATAGTGATGCCGCATTCGACGCGCATGCTCCATCCTCGCTTGTCCCGAGGTGCTCACACGTCATAGAGAGTGCATTCTAGAACGCTCAGACTCTGCGCGGCACGCCCTGATTTCTCGCTGGCCACGTTTGGACGGGTCAACCATGGATTCATGCAGGCGTTCCTGCAGATGCCCTCTCAGAGACTGCCCGCACACCAAGTCAAATGGAAGTGAGTGAAAAGCGCTCGGGGGCTGGGGATGAACACCATCCTAGGACTGGGTGCACACTCACTTTTGATTTGCCGCCGTGATCAACCGTCAGCATGGCTGCACTGGCCAGGCCCGCGCGTCTTCGGGCCCCCTAGCAACGCACGACGGTTCCAAGCGCACACTGATCTTGCCTGCATGTTACAGCCCGATAAAGCACCGTGCTCCCACGATCATCGATGTTGCCGCCGCCTTGCCGCACTCCCTATGACATGAACTCGGCGCCTGGCCCCAGAGCCCGCGTCCCTCGCTGCAAGCTGAGCAGGATGTCGGGGTTGGAAAGGAGCACGCCTGTGACGTCACAACTGGGCATCAGCCTGCACAGGCGACGCGGCCAAAACGAGGCGGCCAGCGCCGATAAAGGGTGCGGGCCTCGGCTGAAGGGGCATGTTGGGGGCTCTAGGGCTGTGCCGGTCGGCAGGTGGTCTGGCAATCGGCAAGGGCGCTCGTGAGCGGGACAGGGGCGGTCCGCGACTGCAACTGTTCGGCACCTGTGCGTCTGCCACGCCTTGTCACCACAAACTGAGTCCCCTGTTGCTGGTCAGCTTGTCGGCAAGCCCTGGGTCTCGCAGCAGCACCGCCGCCGCGTCAGGGCCGGGCAGCAGCCTTCGGCGGCGCGCGGTAGGCAGCGCCGACGGCAGACGGGCACGCAGAGGTCAGGGGCGGCAATTCGTCATACCGGCTGTTGAAACGTCCAGTGGGGCCCGCTGCGGGCTGATGCCAGGCTGCCCTAGGAACACGCCGTGCGCTGCGGGCACGCTGCTTTGGAGAGGGCCTGAGCCGTGGGCACGCAGCAGCACCCCGCCCCTCTCCACCCCTCTTCAACCCACTCCATCCCCTCAAGCCCATGCTTGCCCCTGCGCAACGCACATAGCCACTCGCCTTCACAAGAGAAGTCACACACACACAAGAGAAGTTACACACACATACTTACACTCTTGCGCCCGCAGACACACACATACACAATCACAAACACAAACACACGGATGCATACTTGCAATCTCACGAGCGCACCTCTGCAGCTCTGACAGCAGCTCCTCCAGGTCCTCCACCAGCAGCAGGGGCTGCCGCGTCACCAGCGCGTCAACCACGCTGCTGCAGGCGCTGCCTTCAGCGCCGCCGCCGCGGCCATGGCCGCCAATGGCGCTGCCGCCCTCTGCAGTGCATGCGCAGGGGCTGTCAGCGCTGCCGTGAGTGCTGCCTGGGTCTGGATACCTGCCGTTTATGGAGGGGACATCGGTTTTTGGGTTTTGACTGGCGGCGCACGGGGAGGGTCAAGAGGGAGAGGGGCGAAAGCAACGTGCTGCATTGAGGTTGATACGGAGGAGGGAACCGGATGCTTTGATTCTGCCTGTTTGCAGGCTCAAGCGTGCAAGTGCACACATGCACATGCACACCGCGTCGAGAACACACACTGATTTACACTGCAACCCCGGGGCTGCGCACCTTGCCAGCAGCTGCTGCCTAGCCGCAGGGATGCGCGAGAACTCCTCCTCGCTCAGCAGCGAGGGGCGGCTGCCCAGCAGCTGCCCGAGGTCCGCCTGAGGGAACCACAACCTCAGCTGCACCTGCGCTGGAGGGGAGGGGTTCGCGGGGTGGGCACAAGCACACATTGCCCTCGCGCCAAGCTCTTGTTGCCTTCAAATCGCCTGCAGCAATCTGCCTGCGCGAAATGCCCGTCAACATGGAATGTGTCACACTCCCCTATAGGAGGAGTCACTCAACAATTGTCTCACAGCTTCACCAAACAATTGCATGCAGACATGACCTGATGGGCTAAGGTGCACAAACCGCCGGCTCGCTGCCTAGTGTGATGCATAATCCGACCCACCAGCTTCTTTGCGACTGCCCCGACATCCCCCGCCAGCTCAGCCAGCAGGTCGGCCCGCAACAGCAGCAGGCGGCCCCGCAGGGTGGGGAGCAGGTTGCCCAGGGCCTGGTTTGCAATGCAGGGCAGGGCAGCAGGGACGGCGGTTCAGTGCTGGCTGCGTGTGTGGCGAGGGCAAGGCGCCCCGGGCTGGTGTCTGGCACTGGCTGCGCCCGTTTTTGCGGTGCTGCGCCAAGACCGAGGCATAGGAAGGGCGCCTGCGTGGGCGCGAGCAGCAGCGGTGCAAGCCGCCAGGCACGGGGAGCTCAGCCGGCCGGCGCTGCGGTGCGGGGCGGCGGGTGGAAGGCGGGCGGGCGCACCTGAAGCCTGTCCGCAAGCTCCTCGTCGCTGAGGCCGCCGCAGCGCTCCGCGACCGCGCGGGCGACCAGCGCCTCCCTGAGCACGCGCATCACGTTGAGAAGGGATTGCAGGTGCCGTCCTTTTCCTTTCAGGTCTTTCGGCCGCGGCGTGCAGCACTCGCATGCTGCCTGTCCAGCGAACTTTCGTGCCAACTCAACTGTAGCTTGCTGGTTCCCGCAAAGGCTGACTTTTGTTCACACCCCGCTGCACCCATGGCCTCCCCACACCTTGCGCCCTGCCACAGCCCTATGCTCTCCTCCTTCACAACCCTCCCCATCAGCGCCCAAGGGGCGCTGCCCGCGTCCGCGCCAGCGCCGCCGCTTGCGCGCGCACGGCGCCTGCCGCGCTCCGTTCCGCTCTCGCTGCCGGGGTCGGCCCTGACGACCACACCAGGCATGGCCCTGTGCCGCCTGGAGGGCCAGCGCTGCATGTCGTGCCGCTCGCGTGCATGGCCACCTGCAGTCGCAAACGCCGCATTCGCCGCCAAATAGCGTGCCTGTGCTAGTGCTTGCTCTATGCTCCCGCAGCGGCCGAGGCGACATGCGCCATGTGCCAGCCTAGGCGCCATGGCGCAATGCATGTAAAATTGATCCTTCCTCTTAGTGATGTAGAGTCTCAGAGCTCACGCACTGAATGCGGTTCCACCCCGCAGATCAGCAGTCATGGGTGAGTACTACGGTACTACGCGAAGCTACACGTGCTGCGGTGTTTATTGCTTGAAGCAACGACGTGCTGTATACAGCATTTCAAGTACACACCGGGACTCGACGTCGATGGCGTCACCTGAACGTCACCAGATATGACCCACTGCGGTCACCTGCGCAGGCCTCGCTTTACACAGTGATGGACCACTTTAGAACCTGATGAACGAGACGGCTAATATGATCAGAGGGCACCAGTGTAGAGGCTCTCACTGGCAGCTGGAAATGGCAAGCCCCGACCCGCTCCCCCATGTCAAAAGAGAAGGACGGTCCTGCCTTGGGGTGGCGCGATGTCGCGTACCAGTACCAGGCCCTTCTTCTTCTGGTGTTGTAATGGGACACTGCCGCCAATGTTCACGTTGCTCCGCTCTGTTAGTCGCCAGTTGTCAACATTCTCTGGTGGATCATGCCCCTTTCAGAGGGCCACCCTGAATACACTGCCTGCCGAGCAGAAGTGCACGCCGCTAGTCCGGCGAAAGTCTGACAGTGGGAAAGCATGAGAGAAATCGGCATAGATTGGTTCGCTGCGGCCAGGTGTTGGCCGTGACATCCGTGAATCATGTCGGTCTGCCTCAGCCACGTGTGTTTTTGGTCTGTATTTCCTTTTCACCCCTGGCCCCAAGGCTGACAGGGTTGGCGAGGGATGTGTAACCGTGGGGGCCAAGGCTGCTACAGTGTGGGGCCATGTTGGAACCGCTGTCGAGGCAGAAGCTGTTAATTCACACGCACCAGGCTGTTCATTTGATCCCGACCAACCTGAGCATGTGCTGCCACCGGATGGCAGCCACGTGCGAGACATACATTGACGTCGTTTGGCCCGATTCTGCTGGCTGGTTATTACCCGGGTGCGGGTCGGCGATTGGTGGAGGGGTACTGACAGCAGAGCGCAAGCGGTGCTTGTACGGGGTGTGCTGCATTGCACAATGCTTGGCAATTTGCTTGGAGGAGCTCAACTTGTGCATGCTCCTTGGCAGCGCCCCGAGTCCCGCAGCCTCGCCCGGCCACTCGGCGGCGCGGGCAATTGTGGATCGAGGTTGGGCGGTTGAGCAGCGATGGGCAACAGCAAGCTGGTGTGCGCTTTCCACACGATCACGGGGGGTAGCTCACTGCTGCAAACAGCACGATGCAGCCAGGCTTGTTGCGCGTGTCGCGGCCGACACCGCGATGCTACTCAAAAGCCAATCCGTTTCTTGAGACGACGGGAGAATTTGGACAGTCAGCTAAAACCAGCTCACGCGAGCGATGCAACCATCCGCAATTTGTCAGTCAGCCTGGGGAGTCAAGGGTGCTCCCACCCTCGCTGCCAGCTGGTGGGCGCCGGGAGATTGTAAGTAATGCACTAGCGTTGCGGCAACTGGAAGGAGCGCGGGGTGTGACGCAGATACATCTGACCAGAACAAACTGGGAGGCGGCGAGCATGTTTGTGTGTGCGTGCAGCAGCCAAACGAAACGATTTCAGCTGCGTGTGAAACGTCAGGCGTACGAGGCGGATTCCAATTCACTGGTGTGCAGGCAGACACCAGCTCTGTGACGCCGCCACTGCACCGCACACGTCACAGCTCCTAATGGTGACCAACAACCCTGCACAAGCGCGCGTCATTGTGTGTTTCCGGGCTCAAGCCCGGTGCGTGCAGGCACACTCATAAGTTTGGCAACTTATGGCGGGTCCAGCCAGCAGGCTCCTGTTCGTGTGCACGAGCGGCTAGCGGCTGGCTGGGCGTTGCCAAGGGTAGGGGGTTGGGGTGGACGGGCTAGAGCAAAAAGGCGAAAGCGTCGCTGGATCCACGATTGTCTCACCAAAACATTTCCGGCGCTTGGAAAAGTGCCGGCAACACTGTGTCGGACATGCAGGCGTGCGCTGCACGGGCTGCGCCGAGCTGGGCGCAGGCGGGGCGAGGTCCCACAATACACTTGGCATGCGGGCCTGGTCCGCTGCCGGTCAGCATTCGTGGACGCGGGCCCGTGAAAGCCAGCTCGCACGTTTGCTAAGCTGCCGGCAGCCCATCAGTCCTCACTCGCTCGACCACCGACTGAGATTCACATGCCAAAGGGGGGCGCTGGGCGCGCCAGGCTGGCAGGCCGGGGCCGCCGCAGCTCGCTCGCACAAGCAGCTGCTGGCCAAGCAGCGGCGTGCTGCAGAGGCCTGGCAGGCCTGCAAAGGTGGGTGCGGGATCCGACACCAGCAGAAACACGAGTGCTGATCCTGGCCAGCCGGCTGCATTGATGCCCAAAGGTGGCAGTGCGTGTACTGCGGAAGCTCTGCGGGCGCGGCAACCCGCCTGAGCTGTCTGTGGTGGGGGTAAGTGCAGTGCCCCGTCTGGTTTGCCATGGGAAATGGGGTATGTACATGCGGCGCACCGCCCTCGGATCGCGCGATAAGGCGATGCGCATTTGCAGCTCGCGGCAACAGCAAGATCTCTACCAATGTGCCATCACCCGCCGGCGCCGCACACGGGGCTGCTGCGGCGGCAAACCAGCCACAAATCATTCACGGGTGCGCGAAATGGACCCTCCTCGCCGCCGAGGGGTGCACCACGGGCGACTCGACGCCTGCCGCCACCACTCCCAACCCGCGCTCGGCGCCGCTTTTCGTGCTGCCGCCGCCGACCAGCGCCCCGGCAGGCAGCCCGGCGTCAGCGCGCCCCGTCCCCACCAGCGAGGCGGGGTGCGCGCCGCTGCTGCCGGTGCTGCTGCTGGCCCCGTGCTCTTCTGCGTCCCGAGCTTCTAGCCACTGGAGCTCGTGGCCGGCCGCAGCCGCCGCCAGTGGGACCCCGCCGGCACCGCTGGATGGAAGATCCTGGGGCGAGATCGAGGCAACCGAGATCCCGGCAGACGAAGGGATGGCAAACAGGCCGCCTGGCAGCGGCCGCGGCGGGCCCACGGCGAGCATCAGGGGCAGGCGCAGCGGCGAGCATGGCGCGGGCGCTCGGAGCTCGCTGACTGGTGGGATCCCTGGGAG